GTTTGGGCAACAAAATTTTTTTGGGATGGACATGGGTAGGGTAAGCTCAAGTCTTTACCCGGATAGGTTATTGGGTGGGTCGGACCAGCCTTCAGATAAGAGTAGTCTACTCGCCAATTAACCCGTCACTCACTTGGCGAGCTTGCAGAGTGGGCCTGTTGGTACAAGCATGTAGGCCTATTGGGAGAGCCTGCGGGGAGGCGTACTAGATGGATCTTTTATATATAATTTTATTTAAAAATAATAAATATTTTTAAAAATTATATTTTTTTATTAAAACTAAAGTTAGCATGAACAAAAAGTAAATTACGACTAATTTTAATTTTATTTATGTCTAATTTAATGTATCAACGCGTATCTGTCTCTCCCTTTCTCTGTCTCCCTATCCCTCTACCTTAATAAAAAAGAAAAGGTTGCGAAGCTTACGTCGCCACCTTATATAGCACCATTTTACCTAACTTACCCTCACTTCCAATCTCATCCACACTAGATATAAACCACACCGATTCCAGTGTTCCCACACCATCTCATCCAATACAACTCTTCATCTAAGGCCACTCTCTACTGAATCAGCACTCCAAGATTAAAAGACAATGAGGACCATGCTCTCATCTTTCCCTCTTCTGGTGATGTTCTTCATCCATTGCAATCCAATTTCTGCTCAGTCTCCGGCACAGGCACCAGCACTGCCACTGCCACAGCCACAGGCACCGGCACTGCCACTGCCACAGGCACCAGCACAGGCACCAGCACTGCCACAGCCACAAGTAACGGCACTGGCTCCAGCACCATCGGGTACTCCAACCAATGTCACCGCAATTTTAGAGAAGGCCAGGGGATATAGTATATTTATCAAACTACTAAAGAGTACCGAAGTAGATTCTCATATCTACTCACAGCTCAACAATTCAAACGTGGGGCTAACCATTTTTGCACCAGCTGATAGTGCCTTTTCTGGCCTCAAATCAGGCACACTGAACGCATTCAGTGCTGGACAGCAAACCCAATTGACGCAGTTCCATATCATTCCTTCTTTTATCTCTTTTTCGCAGTTCCAAACTGTGACCAACCCGTTAAGTACTGAGGCTGGTGGTAACAAGGACAATGAGTTTCCGATAAATATCACCACATCAGGGAGTCAAGTGAACATTACAACTGGGATTGTAAATGCAACAGTGACCGGCATTGTATATACCGATAACCAGCTAGCCGTTTATCAGGTGGACAAAGTGCTCCTTCCGATGCATTTTTACGTGACTCCAGCACCAGCTCCAGCACCGGCACCATCGAAGCCCAAGAAGCCGGCTCCAATTACTTCTTCCACAGGGTCTTCTGTTGCTTCTGTTAATACTTCTGGTGCGGTTCAGCAGGCGTTGGACGCAATATTCTTTCTGGTTGCTGTTTCTTCTGCATTGTCTTTATACCTATGATTTGAGTGTTTGTTGATAATAATGGGATTGTGAATCCCAAAGCCTGTATGATTTTATTTTATTTTTTGAGTGACAAGCTGTATGATTTTATTGTTTTTAATCCATATTTTTTTCTCTTTTTTTAATCATTATAGTGTCATTTTCTTCTACTGATGAATTTCCACCATATCTACAAGGACATTTCAAATTAGTGCAAATGTAAACCAAAGAGCAACTAACTAATATTCCATGAATCTTTGCACTGCCCTGATTTCTTCAGCAGGATAATTGTGGGTTTTCATTTCATAACCACTTTTGAGAGCAACCTATAATTCACTAACTCAGCTGCAATATCTTGCTCGTCACTATCTAATTTGCATTTGTTACCAATGAATTGACAAGGCATCTGAACTATAATTGTTTGGTGAGTATCAAACTGCTCATCAATTCATATCGTGTGTGTGTGTGTGGGGGGGGGGTGGAATCTACTGGACATGGCTAGTTTTGTTCTCTTAATTATGTCAACATCAGAAATATTAGAGAGAGGATGTTCTTCCTTGGGCATAGAAAGGGACACACATCAACAATATTGACAGCACCATATCAATCTTGCTTATCCACATGAGATGACTATTCAGGCAACACCCCAACAGAAATTTTCTTCCAATAGGAATTGTGAATAAGCTTTATACAACTCTATATATGTCACTTACTATTCCCATGACTATAAATAAATTATAATATGTAGGGAGAATTACACTCAAATTCTTTGAGATTTGTCATTTAATTACTTAAAGTCATGACATTTGAAATATTATACATAGACTCCTTAAAATTTATATGCGCGTAACACTTAGACCCCTATCATTAATATTGTTAGAATATTCATTAGTAAATTAGACCAAAACCTTTTGAAGTTTGTATATGTGTAATATTTAAACCTCTCAAATTTAAAATATTATATTTAGATAAAAAATACTCCTATCAAAAATAGAATATTAAATATTTTAAGTTTTACAACAAAAATTCATGTTATATTATGTCATTTATTAATATAAAATCAAAAATAAAAATTTAATTTCAATAAATGACATGGTGCTATCAATATTGTTAATGTGTGTCCCTTTCTATGCCCAAGGAAGAACATCCCTAATGATATATACTCCTCACCAAACAATTATAGTTCAGATGCCTTGTCAATTCATTGGTAACAAATGCAAATTAGATAGTGAACAGCAAGATATTGCAGCTGAATTTGTGAATTACAGGTTGCTCTCTACAGTGGTTATGAAATGAAAACCCACAATCATCTTGCTGAGAAAATCAGGGCAGTGCAAAGATTCATGGAATATTAGTTATTTGCTCTTTGGTTTACATGCACTAATTTGAAATGTCCTTGTAGATATGGTGGAAATTCATTAGTAGAAGAAAATGACACTGTAATGATTAAAAAAAAATGTTGAGAGAACACCGACCTCCGAGGCCAAATTATTGAATTGATCTTGATAAGTTTATCAGGACGTGGAAAAAACAGTTTTATTAATTTCATGCGTAGACTGTACAAATTTAATCTCTTAATTCTGAATCGTTGCAGCTTATTCAAAAGAATGATTTAATTTGATTCATTGAAATCGTACAGGCTTTGTCACTCAAGAAAAAAAAAATCATACAGGCTTTGTCACTCAAAAAATAAAATAAAATCATACAGGCTTTGGGATTCACAATCCCATTATTATCAACAAACACTTAAATCATAGGTATAAAGACAATGCAGAAGAAACAGCAACAAGAAAGAATATTGCGTCCAATGCCTGCTGAACCGCACCAGAAGTACTAACAGAAGCAACAGAAGACCCTGTGGAAGAAGTATCTGGAGCTTCCTTCTTAGGCTTCGATGGTGCCGGAGCTGGTGCAGGAGTCACGTAAAAATACATCGGAAGGAGTACTTTGTCAACCTGATATACGGCTAGCTGGCCATCGGTATATACAATGCCGTTCACTGTTGCATTGACAATCCCAGTTGAAATGTTCACACTACTCCCTGATGTGGTGATATTTAGCGGAAACTGATTCTCGTTGCTACCACCAGCCTGAGTAGTTAACGGGTTGCTTAACGTTTGGAACTGCGAAAGAGAGATATAAGAAGGAATGATATGGAACTGTATCAACTGTGATTGCTGTCCAGCCGTAAATGTGTTCAGTGTGCCTGATTTGAGGCTAGAAAATGCACTATCAGCTGGTGCAAAAATGGTTAGCCCCATGTTTGAATTGTTGAGCTGTGAGTAGATTCGAGAATCTATTTGGGTACTCTTCAGTAGTTTGATAAATACACTATATCCCCCGGCCTTCTCTAAAATTTTGATGACATTGGTTGGACCTGCTGGTGATGGACCCAGTGCCGTTACTTGTGGCGGTGGCAGTGCCGGTGGCAGTGTCGGTGCCTGTGGCTGTGGCTGTGGCAGTGTCGGTGCCTGTGGCTGTGGCAGTGGCGGTGTCGGTGCCTGTGGCTGTGGCAGTGCTGGTGCCTGTGCCGGAGACTGAGCAGAAATTGAAGTGCAATGAATGAAGAAGATCACCAGAAGAGGGAAAGATGACATTAGGTTCCTCATTATCTTTTAATCTTGAAGTGCAGATTCGGTGGAGAGTGGCCTTAGATGAAGAGCTGTATTGGATCAGATGGTGTGGGAATACTGGAATCGGTGTCGTTTATATCAAGTGGGGGTGAGATTGGAAGTGAGTGTGGAGTTAGGTATAATGGTGCTATATAAGGTGGCGACATAAGCTTTGCAACCTTTTCTTTTTTATTAAGGTAGAGGGATCAGGAGAGAGAGAGAGAGAGATGTGTTGATAACGTTAAAGCAGCTACTGGTTTGCTTTGTAGGGGAGGAAAAACAGCTTGGTATGTGATTGAAATTTCTGTTATGATTTAATGATACCTTTCTGATTGTTGCTTGGGACAGGCTTCCGAAGCTAGCTTTTCCTTGAAGTGTTGTTTCACATAAGTATCTTATCAATTTTATGATGATTACGATAATAATGGTGGGACTAATATTTGCGCCTTACATATGAATGTGATTTACGAGTAATATTTGTGTCCTACATATAAATGTGATTTTCGAGTAATTGCATGTATCTCCGTAATTAAAATTATCCTTGAGGAGGCTGAATAAAAGACAAAGTGGACATATAAATCACCCACCAAATGGTGCTTGAGGGTTTGGTAAGTCCACATCCCATCCCAAATACTCAATTAGATAATCATTAAGTAGGTTTTTGATTGGAACATTAATGATGGAACTGACCTATTAGAGAAAGAGTTTAGGAAGTTTAATCATGGATGTATTGAGTGCAACACGTGATGGGAAGTCATGGCATTTGATAGGTAATATATCATATTAATGTAGGGCCAAATTCCTGGTGGGGTCATGTAAGGATGTTGGGGATTTGGTGTAGATTGTAATTTTGAAGAACTTAGTTGAAGTATAATAGCGGTGGATAGCACAGCAGCGTTCCCATTTATTGATTTACTATTTCACTTAAATTTTCAAATCTGACTCGCTTTTGTCTACTTATCCTTTGTACCCTTTCGCCTGCTAAGAAGTGGATTCAAACCACTAACACAAGGATTTTCAATCCGTTACTCTTACCAATTGAGTTACTTGAACCGTTTTTTCTATAGTCTATTTTTTTTTTCATTGAACAGTGCCTATTGGGTTTAAAAATATCAATATGTAACCTTTGAATAGACGAGAGAGCTAGTAAAATCATCTTTTGTGTTGAAACATTGAGGATGGATAATCGCTCCATGAAGTCATGGATGGATCCATAAAGAACTGATGGATTGATCCGAAAGTATTTTGAAACTTGGATGATTGCAGATACTTCAAGAAATTATGCACAAATATGTGCTATTGTTGAACAGAGCACCTATTCTGCACAGATTAGAATTTTTCGGTCTGTTTTAGTGGAATGTTGTGCTATTGCATCAAAACATTAATTGTCATTTAAAATAGCAAGAGAGCTCTTCCGAATGTTCCTAATTTGTGATCTAATGATCTAATTAGATAATATCTTAATCAAAAACAGAAGTCGCTACAATTAAAACCCGGGATGAAAAACAATTGTAATCTTGACACATGTCCACGACCTCTTGAGCTTCCTTGAATCATGTATGATATACCACACCTATTTCTTTTTTCAGCTCATGTCAATTGTTATTCACTAGAATTGCACAAAGAGGTCGAGCGTCCGAAATTAAAATCTATATTCGATGTTTGAAAAGGTTATTTGTACTTAATTTGAGAATTTAATATAAAAATATTATTAATTAGAGTCTCTAATTAGATCCCAAAATTAACTTGCTATAAGTATGCTCTTTGATTTTTTAGGCTCAAAATGAACTTGTTGCACCCTAGTCGAAAGAAAGTAAAATGGAAGATAGGCTTGGGTGCCTCAAAAGCCTACAACAAGCTGGGCTTTGTTTAAGGTAACACCAGTGAGGCCCATTCCCAAGTGCTGTGGACCTTACTTCACAACTCTTCATGTTTGTTTTTGACGGGAAGTTAGGCTTTCTAAGGCTTTTTCGATTTAGATAGCAAACACATTGTCAAAATGGAGAATTGTCCAGGGATATATGAAATAATATTTATTGGTCTTAAAGTACATAGTTCATATTGTTAAGTAATTTAATTTTTATCTTCCTAACTTTATTGTCTCTAGGTACACATTTTGAATTTTTCATATATTTCTTTGATGTTTTGCCCTTTTCTTAAATTATGCATATTAGATATGCCAGTTATTTTATGTTTTGAATTTGTTATATTATATTAAATATTTTTTAAATTTATGGATGAAATATATTTTGTCAGTATTTTTTGCCAAAATAACATTTATTCTTTCTAACATCATCCATTTTGAATTATATTTTTAGTATCTTTGACATCAAACGTACTTTATTTCTTCTTTTCCAACCATTTTTCATTTTTTCTTTTCTCCAATACATCATTGATCTGATTATATATCAGCTTCGAAATTATGCTTTCATTCATTTTTTTACACAATATTCGTGTTGCTTAACATGCTAGTCCATCACTCATTTTTTCCATAATACCATTATGACATGGTATAATTTTTGCATAAGATATATGTTCTAGACAATAGATTTTTGGATCAAACACAAGCAATACAACACTCTAGTCTAGATAATGTGACAATAAAGAGTAACTCAAGTAACACAACACTCTATAAAAACAACATCGAATTAATATTGACTCAAAGATATAAGATGTGGAACTTCAAAGTGTCTCAACTAATAGTTCATTAAAAGTGTGACTACATTAAGTGACTTCATATAGAATAGATAGATAGTGCGGCAGCACTGTGTTACTGAACTAAAATATGAATATTTTGTTATTCGAGAATCATAATTTCAAATATATGCGATATATTATAAAAAAATACTTACATAATCTCCAATATACCCCATATTATTATCTTAATATATACATGTCATGTTACGAAACATATGTGAGCATCTACAAAAATTTACCAAAATCTCTTGTCACACTTTAAAAGCAAAAATTATAACAACAAAAGGTTACTCGAGCAAAATAACACTTCATAACAACATAGAATGATATTGGATCAATATATAGGATGTAAGACTACAAATTATTGAAGTATTCATTGAAAGTGTAACTTCACTCGCACAAATCATCTACATACACTCCCGCCCTCAAGCTTCGCGTGTGAATTCGTGAGTTGGGAGGAAATTCAAAATAAATTCATGAATTCATT